ATAAACTAATAATACTATATATATATATATATATATATAATATATATATATATATATCGATGTTGATACTGTGCACTGTATCGTCTCTATCCCCAGCCTCTGAGGTACCCGTTGTGAAAACACCGCCCAAACAATCACGGACCTTTCAGCAGGACAGCGCGCCTGCTGCGGGACTGGCCCCGAGTGACACGGACGTACGTTGTGTTGTGTTGTTGTGTTGCTATGCCTATGACTGCGTTGAATTGATGTGTGTTTGTTGCGAGGTGTATAAGGATGCTATGCATGAGGCTATTCTAGTCTGATGCGTGATGTCTATTTGTCTTGAGCAACTGGTATTACACAGGAATAGTTTTATAATCCATTCCTTATTTTGAGCAAAGGATATTGATAGGTATAGTTTTATAGTCCTTGAAACTGCACAGTGTTGTTGGGTCAGGCTCGCTCCAAGGGGCACTAGCTGATGTATGTTGTTGTGCTTTGTTCAAACTGTATCTATGTATTTGGTAGGACCCCAAGCGATTTCCCTGTACGATGTTTAGAATAAATTGAGTTTGAGAATCTATAGGGTTCGCCCATACACCCAAATATGTAGCCGAACTAATTTTCTGCTGTCGTAGTCAACTAATTTCTGCTGTCGTGGTGTTCCTTATCATGGCTTCACATGACTTGAAGTTTACAATACGCAGATGGATTGTATGTCAGCATATATGGATATATACATAGTAGGTATGTAGCTATATATAGAGAGATATGTTCCTATATATAGAGAGAGATATGTATCAACATATAGAGATGGATACAGATAGTATTTCGAAGTGGTTCGCCATTCATGTCTGCACAATCCATATTTTTTTGCCAATACAGTTGATGAGCCGGATGGCAAAGCTACAACTAGCTGCAAAGGACACCAAATTAGAACAGGACACTATGGAGGGGGTCGATGATGACGAATGGGACGACTAGGTATAGACACTAATTAATGATTGATAGCAACAATAGGAATACAACTCATGCGATGGTGAAGCATTGTAAGGACGACGAGTGTGTAATATACACAAATTAAAGACTAGTAGCAACAATAGGAATACAACTCATGAGATGGTGAAGCATTGTAAGGACGACGAGTGTGTAATATACACTAACTAAAAACTAGTAGCAACAATAGGAATACAACTCATGCGATGGTGAAGCATTGTAAGGACGACGAGTGTGTAATATACACAAATTAAAGATTAGTAGCAACAATAGGAA